GAAAGATGTATCCTGTAGTTGTAAAACTAATTAGGAAATCAAGAGCACCACAATAATTTGCACGAGCCGTTTGAAAACTGTTTAGACGCTGTTTTGATAAACACAGTCGGGTTCATGCTGTCAGATGTTAGTAATTTCGTCCACTTAAACTATTGTATTATTATAAAACATAACTTTTTCACCACCTATGGCTTACCATACCATAATCCTAGAGTCGAGTTTGTTACCTACAATACACAAGGATGATGTATAAAGAACTACTATAAAGAACTACTAAAGGGAAAGGTTAAGGTAAAAGTTTAAATTCATAAAATATTATCCCTTCATAAAAAAAGTAATTAAAAACCATAATTGCGGTCGTGTTTTATTATCTTTCCGGCGTATAAAGTGAAAAAAAGCAAAACAATGAGCTGATCCTGAATTCTGTCACCAAAACAGTTGTGTGTAGCCACACTTTAATGATCCATTCTATCCTTTGTCAAAAAATTTCTGTCACGAGTACTCATAAACCGTACACCGAAAGTCATGACTGTTACCAACAATAAAACAAATCAATGAAGAAGGCTATAGTCGAGTACCTCGACTATCAGATACCCGTTACTCAGCTAATGGGACCAAAGGGAAATGGAGATATGCAAGCAGCAAAGCGAAATTTAAATGCGACACCTACCCGTGAACTCAATATGTGGTTATGTGGGCGGTAGACAGATTTAAGCGTTATAGGCGTTAGAGTGGACGTGGCAATTTTGGATCAATCAATAGATATTGACGAGACTAATACATTTCAATTAAAATTTTGTATCTAGCATGAAAATTGTGGGCACCACAGCACAGTGGTTGCGCCCATAGGACAAAATTAAAAAAATCATAACAACAAAAATTTGCGAAAAGTTACAAACTGCCTCTAAAATGACCAAACTTCTTCATAGCAAACCGGTTTTTTCTAGATATCTAACGGGACTTTCTAAAATTATAATTAAAGCTGTGAACACGTGTTCATTTGCAAAGCACAGCTGCACGCATCGCGAATATTTCACAACAAATGCGAGCTTCAAAGTGTTCAGTCAACTAATTACGCTGCCCAAATTAAGTTATATAAAATGGATTTTGAAGTTAAAGGTATTATTTTTATAAATTTTTTTTATAAATAAAAGCTAACTTGTGTTGTCGTTATTTTGAAATTAATTCTTAATTTTATTATATTTTTAGTATCTTTTGTATTCGTGTTTTTTATGTTTACAAAAAGTTTTAACTGTGATCCCCCAAGATGTCCCGATTAATTTTTTTTTCAGTGTATTTGTCAATATCTTAAGGTATAAAAAAAGTTAAAGCTAGCTGCAGATATTTGCAGATTTGTGCATAATCAACCATATACTAACATCGTCTCTTTTTTTCTTCAAGGTCAAAGCAGCTGTTTTACATTTTGCATTTTGCTGTGTCTTTCTGTTCGTCTTTAGTGTTTTATGTTTTTTTAGGTTCAAATTTTAATTTTTATAGCGTTATTTCTTTATTCGGTTCAACATATTCAAATATTGGTGTACAGTAATCGGCACCAATGCAGAAAAATTACGGAAGGCCATCGAACATGTGAACAGCAATATTGAAAACATTGGCTACGTGTCCAAGATGAGCGTGTTAACGAAATGTATTGAATACATTTGCAAAAAAATTACTTCGTTTTGGACACAATATAAACGCAAAAGGGCATCAGTTCTTGAGTTCCAATCCAATTGACTTAACGAAAAGGAAACAATTTTAAGTAAGCCAAGTAAACCTTAAGAAATAATCGAAACTGCTAAGCGTGGACATTGGCATCAGGCTACAAAAACAATGCGGCAAAATATGGAGAATATGCACTTGATACTGCCAGAAAGCTGATTAGCTTGTATCCATGGTACTATCTTCCACCATCCATACACAAAATTTTAGTTCATAGTCCAGATGTCATAAATTATGCACTTGTGACGATTGGAGAATTAACAGAAGAAGCTGCAGAGTCAAAAGATAAGGACATCAAAATGTTGACATGAAAGCACACCAGGAAGACTTCTCGGATTGACACAAACACAGATTTGATGCAGAGATGACTTCTGAGCTCAGATCCATATGTTACTGGGCAAAGAAAGCTCCCACATTCAAAAAAGTCAGTTTTATCAGCATCAGCATTTGAACTACTCGAAGACTTAAATTATCATTTATTTTTAAAATTTTGTTTTCTTTTGCTGTAATTTTGTTTATTATTATTGTTATGTTTTTTTCATGAAATTTACATATAATAATCCAAACTTACGGATTAACATTGATGGGCGGATAATAGAACACGACTCTTTCTCTTAAAATATTATTTAAATGTAATAATACTTAAATAAAAAGGTTTGAAACTGAAAATAGCAACGCGTTTGAAATTTGGTCCGATATTTTGTATGGTAGCTATAGGATATAGTCGGGCGATATGTTCAATTTTTTTTTACTATAATTAAAATATTTTTATAGAATTTTGGGAAAATTTCGAAACGATATAACAACTAAAAGTATTTTTGGCCGCGGCACCCACACAGGTTGAACCACTGTGCACAGGTTTGGCCGGTTTGTGGGCGTTAGAGTGGGCGTGGCAACTTTTTATGGGTCAATCGATAGGTATTGATGAGAACAATACATTTCAGTTAAAATTTTTATTTTAGCATGAAAAGTGTAGGAGCCACAGTTTTGGGCGGTCTGTGGGCGTTAGAGTGGGCGTGGCACATTGCTGAAACAAACTTGCGCTGCCCAGGAATCTGCATGCCTAATCCCAATATTGTAGCTCATATAGTTTCCGAGATCTCAGCGTTCATATCGAGAGACGTTCAGACGGACAGACGGACATGGCTAGATCGACTCGGCTAGTGATCCTGATCAAGAATATATATACTTTATGGGGTCGGAAACGCTTCCCTTTGCCTGTTACATATTTTCCGACGAATCTAGTATACCATTTTGTTCTATGAGTAACGGGTATAAATAGTGAAGCGAAGGTGCAACAGTAAATGCAAACGATAAAAAAAACCTTGGAAGACTATCCTTGACAAAAAAAAACATAACATTGTAAATAGGATAACAGACTCAAAACTAATACAAGGGTTAGTCAGAAATTTGATTTTGTAAAATGTGTTCTTGGCAAAATTATATATCAACAACGTAAAGAAACGAAAAGTTTTTCAAAACGTCATTCAATTTCAGATCCAGAAAGGGAGTGGGATCAAAAGTGGGAAAAAGATTACTACAACAAGGCGAAATAACCACAACCATGTACACATTAATTTATTAAACCTTTATTATGATAAAGAAAATATATGTATGTTTATATAAATGTACACGAAGGCTTTCATTTTTAATTTATGGGAATAGTTTAAAAAATGATTTGTAATTTAATTATATATCAAGTAAATCAGTATAAATATAAAATAAATTTATACAGATCGCTTTGACAATATATTTTTTAAAATGTATATATATTTTTATACCCGTTACTCGTAGAGTAAAAGGGTATACTAGATTCGTCGGAAAGTATGTAACAGGCAGAAGGAAGCGTTTCCGACCCCATAAAGTATATATATTCTTGATCAGGATCACTAGCCGAGTCGATCTAGCCATGTCCGTCTGTCCGTCTGTCCGTCTGTCCGTATGAACGCTGAGATCTCGGAAACTATGAAAGCCTACAAGGAGCAAGATTGGGACATCAGGAATCTCCGAATTGAGACACAAGTGGCTGTGGTCCGGAAGGCATTACACGGCTAAGTCAAGGTGCTTGGTCTCCAACTTTGTCACGACCGCAACCTGGGGAATCGCCCGGCGGGTCTGCCAGAGTCAAGCGAACATGCGATGAGGAACCGCGAGCTCGGGGGGGAAAGTTGCGTAAGACCCTGGACGAGCTTTGGATCGATTTGTGGTTTCAAGAGGCGTTGTCCGGGAGAGCCCTGCGATTACCGGCGAAGTCTCCGAACAGCAACTGCCCAAAACCCCGAGTGCCGGAAACGCCAAGCTACCAGTCAGAAAGGGCGAGCGATCGACCCGTTGAGGCATTCAAGAGGCGTTGTCCTGGAAAAGTCCAGCGGTTCAGGAAGTCCCGGAACGGCGGTTGCCCAAGGAAACGCAAGACAAGAAACAGCGCAGAGGATATCGGTAGCGACGCCAGCAGACATCACCGGCAGCCACGTCACCATCGCCGCGCGGAGCTCATTGGGGCGAGCAGGAGCGTCGCGGAGGTCAAGCATTAGGGTGAAGCCGGGTGAAACGTTCGTCTGCGCTAGGCGTAAAGCAAAGTGAGCGGCTAGGCAGCTTCCTGGCGTTAGCCTTGACTGTCAGCGCGATCTGAGCAAGAACCTAGCGGGACCGTCCGGGACAGAGCAAGGGACAGGTATTGCCTCGAAAGGCGTTGCCCAGGAGAGCAAAGCTTGTTCACCCTAGTCTGAGAACGTTGATGCTTCCCTAAGTCCGCAAGGCCGAACTCTCTGCGAGTCCAAGGCGCGACAAGCGACCCCGAAGCAGCGCGTCGGCAAGCGAGCATAGGCGCCCACTACGAGCATCCTGAGACACAGGAGCCAGCGGTCGTCAAGTCAACGCGTCGACAAACCAGTACGAGGAACATCAGCAGCCTGTGGAACCAGAGCCAGGAAATACAGAGACCAGCCCAGCCACACACCCGCTGTGTTAATAACACGGTAATAAAACACTGTTACCATTCGAACCCTGTGTTTTCATTCTGATCTACGGGGCAGTCACGTCATATAAATTTGGTGGGACGAACACACAATCTTCTGAGCTAGCTGCACGAATCTCGTAGCGAGCAGACCAACAAAATCAGTCTTGTTTTTTGGATTTCATATCGTGCAGGGCAAGTTGCATGTTTCGACCGACAGGCCTGCCTTTTCCCACAGCCTTGAAACTACGTTCCTGGGTTTTCCCACCGTCCTGGTCCCCACTGTTACACAAAGTAGTATTGTTCGTAGCACCCTTGCAAGTAATCATGGATCTGCTTTCAAGAGGACAACAATCCTGCTGAAAGCAAATTCCAATTTCCAATTCTTCGAGACGTCACGAATATTGGATGGTGTGGAAGATGTGTAGTCCAGACTATGTTCAGTACCATCCAGACCCTGGGACGTCAAATCCTCTAGATCTTTGAGTAGGCTATCCCTTTCACTGGACGAAGCCGAGGCTACCTGGCGCAGTCCAAATTGAATCTTGGCATAGTGGGAAGATATTTTGAAAAGCGCCTCTTGCAGTTGCTCTACATCGTCCTCAAGCTGGCACTCGTAAGTGGTCAAACACCGGCTAATTGTGCGGCCACCAGAGTCAAGCTCGGTGTATAGTCGCTCCTTTCCATGCAATGCTATTGAGTTCTTACTTAAACTGTAGATCGTCTGCCCGGATTCAATGACACCATTCTCTATATTTTTAATATTACATATATTATCCATTTCCATAAAGTAATATTTTAAATAAAAGGTCAATGGTTTTCGAGATTGACATTTACAGCAGAACTCGAACTGAAGCTAAGGCTGCTTGTAGAAGGAACAATTATGAGTTAAATAACTCCCCACAAATCTAACCAGCAGCAGCAGCAGATGGCCGGCCGCTTACCAGATACGCGCCGAATTCGCGTAGTAACGGCGCGGCAAGAAGCGGATAAGGAGAGAGTGGAGACTTGGCGGGCAGAGCAAGAGTGCCATGTGGGGATAACGGGACTCCACCCAACTTTGGACTCTCCCATATACTTTGGACCGGGAGAAGAAGTGCCACATCTCGGCAGTGGAGCGGCACACAGGCAAGCATCACGGGAACCAGCGTGACGGCGGCAGTGGGCAGAACATCGGTTGGAAGCTGTGCGTAAAGGACAAGTTGGTCAACCAGGAGTCACGGACTTTGAACCCGGAGTGGATAGATTTAGCGGGCCGTGCGCAAAAGGGAAATAACGGTTCCCGGAGGCCCTATATAAGTCCGCAGAGCGCTCGCAGCTGTATCAGTCGATCGGGAGGAGTCAAAACGTCAAGATCAATCAGATACCAAAGTGAACAGTCAGTCAACCAAATAATCTACAAGGGAGCAACAGCAAGTCGAGTCGTCGGAAAAGCAGCGCCGTGGTAGCCTACGAGGAGCAAGATTGCTACGTCGAGACGTTCGGGATGGGTATACCAGGAATCTCCGAATTGAGACGCAGGTAGCTGAGGTCCAGAGGGCATCACACGGATAGGTCAAGGCGGTCGGTTTAACCATATCAACTAAGTCCTAGCGTTACGCCTGGAGAATAACGAGTATAACAAGCCAGAAGGGAGAGCGGTCGATCGGTACGGTCTCGAGTGGAGTTGTCAAGGAGAGCCCTACGGTTTCGACTCGCGAGGTCCCGGATCGGCGTGTCCGAATCCCAAGTATACAAGACAGAAGGAGAGCGGTCGATCGGTACAGGTCTCGAACGGAGCGGTCCAGGACGGTTTCGACCCGTGTACCAAAAGCCACGCTACGTCCAAACGCGCAGCCAGCACCGCCAGGTGTAGTGCGCAAAAAATTTGTCAGCAGCAATCCAGCCACCACATCACAGCCACGCAACACAGAACGAGCCACGCTGAAACGTCCCGGACAATAAGCAGAAGGGTGAGGCTAGGGTGGAACGTTCGTTTACACCAGGCGTAGAAGCGAAGTAAAGCGCGAGGCAGCTTCCTGGCGTTCAGCCTTGACTGTCCGCGCGGGCTGAGCAGAAATCCACTGGGACCATCTGGGACAGAGCAAGGGACAGGCGGCGGTGTGTCGAAAGGAGTGATCCTGGAGAGCGCAGCTTCTGTTCACCCTAGTCTGAGAACGGTGGCGCTTCCATAAGCCGTACGGCTGATCCCCTCACGAGTCCGATTCGTCACGAGCAGTCACCGAGTCGACGCGTCAGGGACGAGCAGCGAGCGAGCATCTTCAGGGAGCCGCAAGGTTCTTCAAAGAGCTACAGGACTGGTCGGTCACGTTTATATAAATTTGGTGGGACGAAAACTCTATCTTCTGAGCTAGCTGCACGAATCTCGTAGCGAGCAGACCAACAAAATCAGTTCGTTACAATATTAATTCAACACTTCGATTTTCCATCAAAGTACTTTATAAGACTTATTGTTTGACTGTCTCTAACTAATTGAGGTAATATAAGCTTTCACATGGGCAAGCATAGTTGAAGGTAATATTTTTACTACGGATTTGGTTGAAGTATGAATACATGTAGTTTATATGGTGCTAGTGATGCTGCCAGTGATGTGCCAAGATCCAAAACACGGGTCGCAGACATCCAAAAAAAAGTTGACCACCACCAAATTTTTAAAAAACAATGGTATTCTGTAGATCAATCAAGAAAAAATTAAATCGACAAAACGCCGTCCTCCGCGTCATAAAGATATAGCCGTCTTCTTATATCAAGAAGATTTAAGAAAGAAACCAAAAAATTTGTTCCAAATAAATAGGTTGGTGCCCAAAAGCTCCAGTTAAATTATATACCACTTACAGCCGAAGTAAATGTAAACCTATTTTTAGCCAAATATTGGGGCAAGGATAGCTAAAAAAGTATTTTCACATTTTGCAAAATTTCTCAAAGACTTTGCAATTGACTTCAAAATGATGTTGAATAATACACCAGAACAGGCTTTCAAATGATACGACCTATTTATAGCTGCTATGTCCAACCAAGCTTACATAACTATTCTTATCCCACTCTCCCATAAATATATACTGTTTATGCCCCTCGGAGAGTAGGTAGCAGGTAGGAGAAAGAGGTTCTGACCCCATAATGTCTGAATGCTGTCAGCCGCCCATATTACCATAAATTATAATCGCGAGTATGTCGCGCTTTTCAACCTCGCATTGCTGCTTGTATATCTCCATCTCCCTTTTGCTCCCTTTAGCTGAGTAACGGGTATCTGATAGTCGAGCACTCGACTATAGCGTTCTTCCATTCTTTATTTAATAACAAGAAGGAATACAAGGATTTTCTTGCATCTTTAGCAAATTGAGTGTAGTGCTTGTATATTATATATTGGCCCCCTTTTCTCAGTATTATACACAGATACTGTCAAAATAAATAGATTAAAGATTGACGGCCCACCGTCACAATAAACACAATAAAACCAAACAGTGAAAACATTCCAAAAAACAATGGTCTTTCGATTGTATTTCTCCAGCCACACAACTATTCGAAACACGCGCACAAAGTTGGTCACACTTAATCAGCAGAGATATTGATATCGGAGCCGTATCTGATAGCCAGTTATTGA